AAAAAAAAAAAAAAAAAAAAAAAAAAGCTTTTTCCTGGCCACCCTTCCATGAAAATCATACTTGTTCAGTCTTTTTCTGATTGTGCGGTCATAAATATTTAATGTGCTTATAGAAGCCTGTAGGTCAAATGATGCAGCTCTTGGGTTTTTCTTTGCATCTCTGAGCATTAAACAGTCTTGTCCTTGGACTGAATTTGCTGGCAAGATTGGCAACTGTCTTGAACTGTCTTGATTTGTAAACAACACTGCAGAGTGGTGAATTTCAAATTGTTTGCAGCTGGCTTTATAACTCTTCCCAGATTGATGAGCAACGGCGATTGCTGCTCTGAACTCCTGGCAGATGTCCGTTCTTCTTGGTATGATGTAGACACACACCCGAGCGCTCCAGAACACCAAACTGCCAAATGTTCCGTTTTATAGAGGTAGTCACATTTCCTGACGATTAACTAATCTTGTGCATTTCATTAGTGCATTTGCGTTTAAGGCATTTGGGAGATGCCCTTATCCAGGGCGACTGGCATTTATGTCATTTTATACAACTGAGCAGTGTTGTGGGCGGTGTTCGGATTTGAACTCAAGATCATCTGATCAGTAGTCCAACATTTTACCCACTGAACCACCACTGCCCCGATAGTAACTCCCACCTGATCTCTGAATGTTGGTTTATTTCTTGGGAAACATTATTACATATTGAAATCTTTTCTGCTTTACTGTCACCAATATTGTCACCTGAAGTTACTTGTCCACTTATTCGTTATAAGTTGATGAGGACCACACAATTGTTACTTAGGCTGTGATAAATAAAAACCTAAAATTGAAGGAGGGTGCACTTTCTTTTTTCCCCATGACTGTGTACAGTGTAGTGTAGTGTAGTACTGGGGGGCAAACAGTTACCAGGATGCATAGGGAGAGATCCTCTTCGAATTTTAATTGAATGAAAATGCAGACACAGGAAGTAGAGGGATATTAATAATGCAACAATGTTAATAATAGTGACATAATTATATGACGCAATTCACTGAGCAATTTAAGCAATTGATAGGCAAACACCAAGAACTTTACACTGAAGGCTGTGCGGCATAATTTACAGCAGATTAGATTTCTGAAACTGACAGCTCTACGGCGTGCGTGTCAAGTGCGTAATGCTCAGCGCATCCAGCAGATGGGGAGATTTTCCACCAGTGTAAGCTTCTTTCTCTCCTCTCACCATTCCTGTGGCCTACATTCACAGCAACTTCAGCTACCCACTGCCCTGCCCAAGTTTATGTTTTCCAGTCACGGATTCAGCACATCGAGGGCTGGCTAATGAGACAGTGATTTGGATTAGGTGTATTGGGAACTGGGAACATAGCATTTCATATTTCCATTATCCTATCCGTTGTGCAAATTCTCCCCTCACTACACTCATATATTCCTGTTGATGTAAAAAGAGAACAATGATTTGATTTGGTAATTGCACAGAAAGCAAGAAAAAAAAAACACATGAAAAAAATGTGTGGTCATGCAGCGTTTGACTTCTAAACACAAAGAGTCTTTGTGCTACAGAGAGGTTTTGTGCGTCAGTCTCAATTCTGATTGGTCAAGAGATTGTTAAATATTCTAGGACAGCAGCGCAGATATTTATGTTAAATCTTCTCGCTCATATGTTTTTGGACTTTTAAAGATGTGTGCGTAAAGGAGTTTTCTGTAAGGAGATGTTTATTTAGAATTTTCTGGAATCAGTTTCATGTGTCGGCACTTTTTAAGTGTCAGAAGTAAAGCTGTAACTTTTTAAGTTTTCCAACATGGGAAGTCTTTCCGGATGGAGGGAATTGCAGCTTCTCCGCATGCTGCAGTTTTTGTCTTATTAATTTCAAGACAGAGAAAAAAAGGAGACTGTTTATATCTGCTATGACATAAGTAACAGTAAGCGGCAGGAGCTAACTTGTTTTGCAGACAGTCCTTAAATGACATTAAAAGCAACTATGAACAGAGAAGCTGAATGAACATTCTTTAATAAATAAAAATAATACACTTACAGCATTTAGCAGATGTCCTTATCCTTGTATAGAGATGTTCAGAAGTGCAGTAGTCTCTACCTAAAGCATATCCTCATGCCAGTGCACTAAATCACAGAAGCACAAAAGACTATGCTTCATGTGGGGCCACATCACCACCCCCTACCCACCAATCAACAACCAACAACAAACAACCTCCATTCCCTATTAACAACCAATAACCCCCTATCTCCTGTCAACAACACCCTACCCCCATCAACTGCCCCTACCACCTAACAACTATCCCCACCCCCCATCAACAACGCCCTGCCATCATCAACCACCCACACCATCAACA